AAAAAACTTTATTCTCACCTTGATTCTTGGCAGTGAAGAGATAACAGCTAAATTAACCCAGATGCCATGGCTCAGTTGTGTTTACCGTTCCGCGAGTCGACCCTTTGATTCCCGGTGTTCCCAAACCTGCCAACATCATCAATTCTGCTCCATCCATATGCATGAGATCCTGTTTCGACTTTCTCCTCCAGTTCTGTACAAGCAGCACTGACAAACATTCAACAAAACAGTCTGTCTCATATGACACTATTTTCTGATTTGTGTTATAATGTTGTTTCCTCATCACAAACAGACCTGGAGTTATGTTTTGTTTCATTCACACATGTTTAACACACAAACCCTGCATATTTAGGCTGAGTTCTTCTCTCAAACAAAAACACTGTGTCCCGCCTGGCGATGTCATGTGGTAATACAGGAAGTGCTCCACTCTGTTTTTAAAGGGACAGTCCAGAATTGTGGACATAAGACCTCATTTCCTTGTTAGCCAGAGTGTTGGAGACGTGTGGAGACACTTTTTATAATATTCCATCCAGTCCTTGTATTTGCAGAGGTCGCTGGTGCTAGGCTAGTGCATGTCAATGGCCATAGTTAGCCTGTCACTAAAAACAGTCTTACCCACTCCACAAAACACCCGAAGCAAATCTGTTATTACGCCAGACTGTCGATGTAAATGTCTGTGTTGATAGAATAATGTTTGAAATAAAACTAACCTTGCATTGCAGGAATCGCATGTTGAGGGACTATTTTCTAATATATCAGTCCGCCACTGCCAAACTTTCTATCAGGAAGTACAACTCGCTGCTGCTGCTCAGGCATAAATCCTTAAAATGCAAGGTTAGTTTTACTTCTAAAATTATTCTATCAACACAGACATTCACATCAACAGTCTAGCGTAATAACAGATTTGCTTTGGGTGTTTTGTGAAGCGGGTAAGACTGTTTTTAGTGGCAGGATAACTATGGCCATTGACATGCACTAGCCTAGCACCAGCGACCTCTGCAAATACAAGGACTGGATGGAATATTTTTAAAAGTGTCTCCACACGTCTCCAACACTCTGGCTCACTAGGAAATGAGGTCCTATGTCCAAAATTCCGGACTGTCCCTTTAACTTCATACACCTTCACCAGAATCATCTGGATAATTTCAGTCCTCAATCTCTACTGATCTAAAGGTAAAAGGTAGCGTTTCATGACATCACAAGGTGGAACAGAGCATTTTGAGCTTTGGAGATGTAGACAGACTAATAATAAAAGGTTACTCAAACATGTGTGAATGAAACAAAACACAACTCCAGGTCTGTTTTTGAGAAGGTAACAACATTATAACACGGTTTAAAAATCACAGGAGTCAATTTTGTGTAAAACAGAACCTTTAAATATGTCACATACGCTAAAACTGTGAGGGAGATGAAATAAATATACTCTTGTACATGTTTTTGTACCTGCTTGTCTCCATGGAGATACTAGCTTTGCCTTGATTATTTAAAAGTATGCAAAAATAAACTTGGTAATCACAATGGAGACAGGTTAATGTTCAGATCTCTGAAGAAGCAAGCCTGCACATAGTAAGAGTTTGTGTTTTTCTGGGAATTTTTGACCTATAAAACGCCTGTAATTGAATCAGTGCAAGGCAGATATGTTTAATGCCCTACTGTGGAACATAAAGAGGTAAGTAACAGACTCCCCGCTATAGAAGTTACATAATGCACCTTCAAGTTTCAACATTTTAAAATACCAAGTTTGAGTTGAGTAATTTTCATTAGGGATGTAACAATATCCAAATCTCCCGGTACGATATTTTGGAGCGGCAAATATAATTGTAGATAGGACACTTTTTTGCTTTTAAAATACTTCAACAAGTTTTTAGTGCAAATTATTACTGTCAGAATCCCAAGAATTCACGTAAAAAACATGTTTCTTCATGTTGTCTGTGCCAAAATGAATCATGGGATATGTAGTTCCAATGTTTATTAGCTGTTCCTACTAAAGAACAATGCAAAGGAACTTATAATTCGATATATTGTGACAGCTTTTGATATTATTGTGAGACTTTTGACGATACGATATCATGATATTTGTCTTTTGTTACATCCCTAGTTTTCATAGTTTGGGTTTTGATCATTTTGCTTTTAACTAATACAAAAACGAATAAAACCGTATTATTGGGTGATAAAAATGACTCAAATCAAGATTGTCTGAATGCTTTTGTGTGTTTGGATGTAAACCAGAAGTATTGTCTTCACAGGAGCTGGTGTTAGTACAGGGTCAGTGGATTGTTGGTGTCTACAGATGTGACTTTTTTCATTCAGCAGCACTTTTGTAAGGCAGAGAAAGTTGAACACACTGTACTAGGGGTGGGGATATTCGAAAATGGAGATCGCAGTTGTTTTGGAGATTTGCAAAATGTGTTCATCATCTCTAATAAACATGATTAAAAAGGCTGCAAAAAGCGGATTAAAATACAACCACCATAAATAAACAAAACAAACTTCTCTGTCTTGGCGTCGTGGATTCTCGCTGCAAATTTTTTCACCGCAAATTTCACACTCTAAATTTTGACTGTTGAGTTTGAGGGCTTGAAAATATCTGCGCTGAATATTTAAAAGGTGATTCATTTTATTCTGAAATTTTAACCACACTGAAAAAGTATATTTCAGCTATTTAAATTCAGAATAAAAAGAATTCAAATGTGTTTCTTTCAGAGTTAAAAAAAATTCTAAAGTGAGAAATACAAATGCATGATCTTCCATAAATAAACAAAGCAGATTGCAGAGATGTGGTTTAGTTTGGCTCGAGGTGCGGTGAATAAAATAGAGAGATCACATTCTGGACCAGGCAAACCTACACAGTTGTACAAAAACATTCCCTGTGAAAATATTTAGGGTTAGGCCTTTCAATTATTAGCCGATGTCGATATGGATTGTTTAGAATCCAGAGCAACAGATTTTTGAGTCAGTATGGATTATTTTCCTCACATTATCTAGTTTAAATTTACTACAGACCTGTCTTTTTTTTACTACAAACCCATTAGGGAACTGTGTCGGAACATTTTGTGCAGTTTTCTCTTCTTATTAAAATTTTAAAATAAAGCTTTGTGTGTATTTTTAGGCAGCGGGTTCAACTAAAACGGCCTACGGTGAAGATTTAAGGCCAATAACAGATATGAAAAAAAAAAAAAAAAAAAACAGCCAGATATCGGTCTATCTCTAATACTTACTATATCGGTTTATCATTCAATATATGTTAGCTGGAACTGTATTTTTTGGGGTTTAATATTTACCATGTGTACAATTTTTGAATAAATAACTTCTATGACTCATTATAGATACAGACTAATACTAAAGAGTTATTCTGTTATTGTACTTCATGTTTTTAAAATATTGTACATTTAGAATAGTTTTGTGGAGGATAATCAATTAGTTTTAATAATATCATTTATCATCTATTCAGCAATATATCGTACTTCAAAATCTGTTATCGTGACAGGCATATTTGGGGTCACAGCTGGATCACCAACCTCTTGATTTCTGTTGTGCCAATTCTCACGTTTTTGGATACTATATAGTTTTACTGTGCGTTAAAATCAGAAATGTGTATATAAATGGACACATAAATGGAACTCGCCAACTGCAGTGCTTCTGGCTCCATTATGGAAGTATACATGTGCCAGAAGTTTTGAATTTGAATATTTCATGATGAATGAAATAACTTGAAAAAAAAGTATTTAAAATGGAAATAATTGGAAAAAAGGCATTAACATGTGATAGGTGGGTATGATTTTACATTACTTTTCAGCATCTTTAATTCAGACTGGCAAATTTCAAGTTGCCAAATTCAGATAAAAAAAATTTCAAGTTGAGAATTTCTCATCTTGAATCAGTCTGAATTAAAGATGCTGAAATGTAAAGTAAAATCATACTCAACTATTGCTTGTTAATGCTTTTTTTTTCAGTTCTTTCAATTTCAGCAATTTTCAGAACATTTCATTCATCATGAAATATTCTAATTCAAAAACTTCTGGCACATCTATACTTCCATACTCCATCGACTTTACATTGAAAACTGCTGCATTGAGCTGGTCTTAAAATGTTCATATTAACCCACTCTACATCATCCTGGTGTCTTTATTTCGCTATTTTGCACATAAATAAATTTGTATTCCTATTATGGACGTGGCTCCAAATTCATCCCTGTAACCGCCAGCATCATGAGCTTCATTTGACTGGAGCCGTACGTTATGGGCGACCTCACACTCACTTATGCTGGGTGTACATGTGCGATATTTTCAATCGTTTCACTCAGCCCCAGCTCAAACTGTAAGACCAAATCGCAGGGTTTAAAGTTCACAGCTCACAATTAAAGTTCTCACACTATACGAACTACTTCAACAGTGTGAAACCCTCATGAGGTGCGACTTCATTTCAAATAGGTTTGATATTTTTGCGACCTACGATTGCTGATCAGGAGCTGGTCATGAGGTATTAATTGGTTCTCGTTACCCCATCCCAAAAACAGTTGCACAAGTAAAAAATCGGCTCAAAAAGGGCAAAATCGCACAGTGTAAGCCCGGCTTTAGTCCACTTCTTCATACAGCCTATGATTAAAGCTACACTATGTAACTTTTGGTTGGGGATCCATCACCTGCTTGTTTCAATGGAGATGTCATTGCCTTGTCTGAATGTTCCACAGTATGACATTAAACAGCTCTACATTACATTTATTCAATTACAGGTGGTTTTATAGCTCAAAAATACCTTGAAAAACATAAATTCTGACTGTGGCCGGGGTTGCTTCTCCATAGATTTGACCTGTAACTTGGTTTGGTCTCCGTAAAGATAGAAAGCTTTAAATCCATACTTTGAAACATTCCAGACAAAGCAATAACATCTCCATGAAGAAAAGCATTTAACGGACCCTCCATTAGAAAAATGACACAATGCACCTTTAAAATATAGACATGGATTTGTAAATGATTAAAGTCATAATAACAAAAACAAGATCCAGTTTATAAAAACACTGTTTATAAAGAAAAGTGTACATTTGATCCTAAGACTGAAGTCAGCACTTAAATCAGATAATACTGCATTCCCTGTTTAAAATCTGTTCTTTTTCTCAGTGACAGTACTCACAACTGCTGTAGCCGTATATAGCCATGTACGTATATATTCTAAGCACGGAATGCCCATCGTCCAGTGGTCCACACCAGAAGTCCGTCACAAATATTCAAATAATTGGCACTATAAAGCGTACAACATTCACTGCATTAAACTATAGGCGTGCGTCTCCTCTTCTCATCCTTCGTCTGAGAGAAGAAAGCAGCTACAAAACACTGGAGGCACTGTGACCAATGTACACAACTACAAAACTAGTACGAAAATGGTCCTGGTATTTCATTATGTATATATCCAGTCTGTGTATTTGAGGTAATCGGCGCTGTTTCGTAGCTCCATCAATATTCAGCTTTTAACATCGATCCTTTGTCCGTCAAGGCAGCACGCAAGTTTAAAATCTGTCCACGAATCGTTTGAGTTTTCGACTCAAGGATAAGTCCAAGGTCCGAAACGGCCTCTGTAACAGTCTTTGGCCTGTGGGAGCTGATGGGAGGAGCGAACTGGAGTGGGCGGTCCTCTGTTATAGGTCTCCGCTCTGGGGTTCGGGGCGGGCGTCCTGGTTGCGGTTGCGTCCGAGTCGGGGGAAGCGGGAGGACGTTCTTGAGCGTGGAGTCTTGGCGGCGTTGTCATTGGTCTGGGGGGTGTCTCTGTGTGATGAAAACATAGAAGAAAATATAAGTTAAAGGTTCTACACTAAACAAAAACAGACCTGGAGTTGGGTTTTGTTTCATTCACATGTTTGAGTAATCCTACATTATTATCTGTCTACATGTCCAAAGCTCCAAATGCTCTGATCCAACTTTATGATGAGGAAAAAACATCATAACAGAGATCAGAAAATAGTGTCACCTGAGCCCTGTAAAGAAACATTGTGTAATTTTCTAGAGGTGACAGTGAAAACCAGACTTAAGAGATACTTTATATGCCATTCTGTGGAAGATTATAGCCAAAGGAAGAATATTTCCATGGAGACAAGCAGGGGGTCAGGTTTGTAGAGATACAAGCTCGATCACAGTAAAGACAAGTAAGCAATAAAAACTAAAAAATACAACAACAACAAAAACATGCTTTAGTCTTTTTTTTAATTTTTTTTTTAGCTAAAACGATACATGATCTGGCTTTTACTAAAGGCTACACATATTGGATAGGGGTTGCTAAAAATCAAGAGTGAATCTTATCTTATTCCTATGTCTGTGTGTGTGTGCTTTTGTGTTTGTATGTGTGTTTGTGTGTGTGTTTTTGTGTGTGCGTTTTTTTGTTGTTGCTTAAGCTTAATGTCTTATATGATTTGTAATTAATGCTGCTTCATGTGCTAGTGAATTAGTTTGTCAAATCCTCCAAATAACAGTCCAGTAATAAGTCATTTTCTTAACTTTCTGTTGAATTGATAAAACTTTTTTTGTTCTTTTAAAAACTATCTGCATTGTGTGTATTATTAGAAGTCCTCAGAGATTGAGGTGCAGACAGTTGAGTGCGAGGCTAAAGCACAGCCCACAGTAATCTGCTGTTTGGTGAAGCAGGGGACATTCTCCCAGGAAAGAGACCACTCTGAACACTTCAAAGAAGTCTACTTTAAGGAAAACTCTGATTTAGTGATGACCGACTTTAGTTTATCCCCAAGAAAGTTTGAAAAATCTCCCCACTCCTCAGTTTGCATTGAATCCTAAAATGATGCAGACTTAAAAATTGGGCCATAAAGTAGGAGTCAAAATCTGAAAAACTGTTTTACATATAAAACTGTATGTATTCAATGGTTTGTCTTAACATGGTTTCCTGTTTGTAGGCACCACTTTGAGGGGTTTCACCATTCAAAAGAATTGAACTGTTAATTGCTATAGCAACAGTGCAGATTTTTCCATCACTCTCAAACGAATGGTTTGGTCAGGATCATGTCAGTGACAAGTTGCATTGGATCAAGATGACACAATTGTTCAGGACTTTATGAAGATGTGAGTCTGGTCTGAGTTCAGATGATTGTGATTGACAGGTGGATTGGCTAATCAGGGGCACACACGGTCTGTCCGTCTCAAAACAAATACGGCTGCTTACAAGAAAAGAAAAGGAGGAGAATGGCTCTAAACTCTGCACATCTGAGGTGAGAGAAATGTAATTTTGTTAAAAATGATAGATGACCAAAGCTCTTTTGTTTCACGTGTGAATGAATAAACAGATCTGACTGGATATGCAAAGAAGAAGATAATATAAAGATACTGAGTTTACGTGAATCTTGGTTTTGTGCAATGAAATGATGATGATGGCGTTTTCACAGTGGAATAGAAACAATAAAACAATATCATCTGAATGTCTTTCACGGTACAGTTAGTTCTTCCTCATTTGGATCCTATAATCACAACATTATATGTCCATCTCTCTGGTCCCTGTCCATCTCCTCCTCCCCTCTTGTGTATCTCTGCTTCGTCTCATCTGGAGGCACTCATGTGTGACAGGCCCAGATCAAATTACAGCCATGAGACTGACATTAAGACTTCCTGCGCTCACGGAGGAAATCCTTTTGTTCTCCCGTTCGGCCGGTTACCGTGACGACCTTCTCCTACGCCTGTGAACAGCTGATCCCCGTGTCTTATCTGATCACAGCCACAACCGAGGAAGAGGAGCAGGAAAGTAAAGGCACAGGAACAAGTACTACTGGAAGGGTGAATGAAATGTTTTTGTGTTGGGAGTAAAGCTGGCTTGTTTTATAGACATGACTGCTCATTTTAAAGAGCCACAAAAACTGACTCTTGTGAGCTTTTAGCCGTGTTAAGAATGTCATCAAAAACACGCCTTGTGTTGTGTTTGAGATGTGATTTGTTTCATTCACTCGTTTGTGTAAGTCTGGTTTGTCTATCTACATCTCCAAAGCTCAAAATTGATTAATTGATTGATTGTGATGTCATGAAGTGGTAGTTTTCAAGTTAACATCTACCGTTTACTGTTTGTTTAATAGGGATAAGGAATAGGGAAATTTCAGGGCTGAAATCATCCAAATGATTCTAGTGAAGATGTACAGAGTTTCAAAACACAGTGGAGCACTTCCTGTATTACGACATGACATCACAAGATGGAACAGGCTGTTTTCTGTTTGAGAAAAGCAACCTAAATATGCAGGATTGTGTGTTAAACATGTGAGAAAGAAACAAAACACAACTTCAGGTTGTTATGAAACAACATTATAACATAGATCAGGAAAAGGTGTATACGGGCCCTTTAAAGATACACTATTTTTTTTTTCTCGTGGCCTCCCACTTGTTTCCATGGAGATGATATAGCATTTTCTGGAGTATTACGTGCAACACAATTGAACACAATTGGCATTGAACACAATTACAGATGCTTTTCTTGCACAAAAGTATCTTGAAAATCATGCTTTCTCCTCATGCTTTCATGGGCTCGCCTCTCCACAGATCTAACCTGTAACTTGCTCTCAGTTGGAATGCCTAGTTCTTGATAGGATTTCTAAAAAAAAAAAAAACTACAAAAGTAATATAAAAATACTGGACAAATTAAAAGTTTCAAGTCATGTTTTGTCCAAAAGAGCACACGCAGCTGTCTGAAAAAATAGATCTACTTCCTCTACCACCAAAAGACTGTCCCTATCTCGCAATGGAACAATAGAAAAGCCCATACGTGTACTCATGTGTGCTCAACGGCTCAAGGTAATCCATGTTGTTCTCAAATGTATAGAATGTTCTGTAATCAGATCGGTTACATCATCCCTCTGGGTCCTGATACAGATGTGAATATTGTGATTGGTTTAAAACGTGATTGTGATGACCCCCTTTGCAGACGTCTCCATGGCGATCAGCTGTGGTCCGGTGTATGTGGGACGTGTGTGTGGACCTCAGCACAGCCTCAGGTGGGACACAGGAGAGACATGGAGCAGAAGTGATCAGATGTGTGAGTATCTGTCACAAGAGACAGCCCTCAGGATACAAACAACTGTGTCTGACTATAAGGATTTCAGAAGGATAGAAACCGTTTGATATGGAATTTTGATCAGGAGACACTGATAACCGATAATTTACCGATGTCGATATTAAAAGAGCTCAAGATTGTGTCACAGAATTTTCAGTTAGCCTAGTTTTAATCTGATCTGTTACAATGTGTCCTCATCATAAACAGACCTGAAGTTGTGTTTTGTTTCATTTGCACATGTTTAACACACAAACCCTGCATAGTTTTTTCTTTCAAACAATGAAAATCTTCTAAACTAAAGGTAATATTATATTTATATATTGTGTGTGACCAGAGATGTGCGAACTGAATTGCCCTTTGGGATTAATAAAGTTGTTGATTGATTGATTGATTGATTGATTGAGGTAAAAAGTAGCTGGTAACAGAAGGTGGAGCAGAGCATTTTGAGCTTTGGAGATGTAGACAGACTAATAATAAAGGGTTATTCAAACATGTGTGAATGAAACAAAACACAACTCCAAACATGTTTTTGAGGAGGTAACAACAATGTAGCATGGCTTAAATCTCACAAGAGTCAATTTTGTGTAATATAAGACCTTTAAAGAAAAGTATGTAGTCTGTGCTCTTACAGTAAAAAAAAAAAGAAGTTTAAACCTGGTGATAGAGGACACACACACACATCATTCTCAGTATATGTACAAGCTAGGGCTGGGGAGTGTCCAAATTTTGATTCTGTTCAAACTTGAGAAATCTTCTCAAGATTTTACCGGCGTATACGGCATTACCGTATTACCAAAATGTTTTAGTATGACTTTGGTAAGTTATGAAGTCGCACCACAGTCCAGGAGTATGACCTGCAGACTTTTAATCTCTGAAAAGTTTCACATGAACCATCTCCAACGCGACACACGCACAGAACAGACTCACCATCAGCCGCGCACCCTGTGTTGCAGAAAAAAACAAATATAATCCATTGAGTCATGTCCTTTAGTCCAACAGAAACTGACCACATCAGCGCACAATGAGTGAGCTATTTTTATCAGCGCTTTACAGTTTGTGCAAATGAGCCATGTGGTTTTAAGTTTCATTTCTGTAAAACATAAACAAATGTGCACCTGAAGCCAAAATGATGCCAAACTGCAGAAGTACTAGTATTTTTATGGGGGAGGGACCAACTCGTTTGCCATCTTGTCTTGGTCTCCTTTATGAGCTGTGACATGACAACAAAACAAAACTAATCAAATGTCATCTCCCCACGCAGTTAAAAGAAACATTATAGAGTACTGTTAGTTTTGAAAATACAAGCACACATTCATTTGTGCTGAGAAAACAAATTCAGATGTCAATAAATCATAATATTATGTTAGGTCCTTATGCGCTGCAGATTTTTTAATGACAGGAATGAAACTGACACCGTTGCTACTTTCTGATACCGCAGGATCCCTAGAACCCTAGTACAAGCCATGTCTCATGTGAAGGCTCAGACCAAAGTCCTTTTAGGTTTAAACTAACTGGATTTCAGCACTGAAACTTTCAACCACTAAATAATAACATAAACAACTTGTCCATCATGTCCAATATTTTTGTAATTAAGAATAAATCAGCATTAGAATTGTTATCAGTAAAGACTTTACTACATTTGGACAGGTTTACCTCGTATCTGGAGACTCAGATGGGTCATGTTGAAATTTAAATTCTAAATCTTATATCTGGTTCCTTTAAGATGTTCAAT